CATCATCACCATTACCATCATAACTTCCATCACCCTTTTCCTCACAGCCATCATCATCACGTTCACGTTGAAGCCATCGTCAAACACTCCGTCCCCGCACCCTTGTCCTCACAACCATCATCATCACCAGTCTCATCATCAAAACACTCCGTCCCCGCACCCTCGTCCAACAATCATCATCACCAGTCTCATCATCACTTCCATCATATTCATCGTCACCGATCGTGTTGCCATGTCATGGATTCCCGCCGATCGTCTTGCGATCATTCCCATTCCCCCCGTAAGATCTCATAGCCAATCAAAAAGGCCGATCCTGTCTCGTTCTGCACAGAACCGAACAAAGCAATTTGCCGCCAATCCCTCCACAGAAGAGATATTGCCGTTCTTGATGTGTCGGTGCGATTGGTTTGTTTCAGAAGGCCGACTATGGACACGAAAACCTTTCCATTTCCCGTTTTCTGTCCAATCGAGCGACCGGATACGCCTCGTGATGCCATCGAAGCCATATGGTGATTAGAGCCGTTCGTCAGCGATCTAGCCCTAGTGTGCGTTCCATTCTATACGACTCAACCGGTACCGGCAGAGCAGAGTAGGTCCGTCCACATTCTCTGCATTACCATACATAATCCACTAAGAGGGTGGGAGGGGGGGGAGTCTAGCCACTGAAGGTCACCTTCCTCACACAGAAATCCCCCCCGTTTCCACACAGACAAGTCACACAGAAATTCCCCCCTTACACACGGACCCCTCACACACAGAAATACGCCTGTGATTCCCTTCGGGATCTTCAGCAAGGGGAAGAATTTCCTTTTGTCTTTCAGAGTCAGTAATCATCGTCACTCACTTCTACACTGGAGAATCGAGTATTTTTAACTTTTTACGTTTTCCTTTCCGCGCGGGAATCTTTTCACATAGACACGAGTTTTCCAATCTACCACAAGGACTCCTCCCATCATCATCTGTCGCACGGGGAATAATTTCCCTGTGATTTCGTTAATTACATATCTCTGCCTCCCAAAGAGCATATCCCATCCATTCACCGATTCAGCTTTCGGTCATTAATAAAGCATTACAACAGCGTTGGCAAATCTTATGCATTATTATTATTATTATTATCATCATCTTATTACACTACATTATATATTATTATATATATTATTATTATTATTAACGTTTTAGTTGTCCAACCACAACCACACAGCTCTACTCCCCGTCTGGACAAAAGTCCGGCAAAATCGATGTGACTGTAGTTAGTTAAGCAAGCATTGTGACTATACTTAGTTAGGCAAGCATTTCTCGTACTCGTTAATAATATGAGCACACGTTCCCTTTCTCGTGAAGAAACCCAATTTCAAAACTACCCCGCCGGTAGCAATATTTCTACAATTGCCAGTACATGCAAGTAAATAAATCGCATCCCTACGATCACAGCTACGCAACATCCGCTGAACTTATTGAATGAACTATGTTTTTGGAAAAAACAGTTACAATACCTTTCTCGGCCTTTTGGCTAAGATAAAGTGTAGTATCTGTTCTGATCAGTTTAATATCTGATCCGTGGTTCATCGGACCACACGATATTAAATTATTTTTTCTGGGCTTCGGAGGGGTCGTACGGGTAAGCTTGCTTGCTCGATCCCTTCAGCGTTGCCTCTGTATTGCACTGCAGCAGAGTGCGGCGCGGCCCTCTCCCCCTCCGGGAAAAAAAAAGAAAAAAAACAGTTACGTAATCTCAGTAAAAAGGCATGTATTGAATGGATGGTCCTACACAATCTACACGAACCGTATTCTTCATTGGAAGCGCAGAAGACTAAATGGGGCAGACATGTACTGTGGCTGGTATACAGCTCATTAGTTCAATTAGTCTTGACTCAGGGGCTAGGTCATGACTTCAATTCTAATCAAACTCTCTCTGAATACAACAAACAATTGTCTCAGGGGGATATCTATCTATCAGCTAAAAAAGAAAAAGAAAACCCTTTATTCTCATACATATATAGAGCGTGGCTTAAGATAACTGCAAAAAATCTGCTCAAACCCTGCATACAAAAAACAAGTATCTCAGCGGCTATCTATCAGCTACAAGCGGGGGGGRAAAAAATCATTCTCATATATAGAGCATGAAATGAGCTAACTGCAAAATTTTCTCACCGAATAGAAAAACGAAAGATAAGAGCATTTAAAAAAAAAAACAAAAAAAAACGAGAGCATTGTATCACCACCCCCACGTCCAGGCCGTGATTACCACACTGCATCTGCATCCGCTCTACTCTTGGTTTTCCATTTTGGGAAACTTCCTCTCGATTTGCGCGTACCACCTTTGATTCCGTAGGGGCCATGTCAAACTTCTTTTCTCTGTAAAAACAAAACAAAAAAGTTCTGTATTCCAATTTGAACGGCTCGTCGTCGTTCTTTCAGTTGGTGCGCGGAAGAAGGGGCTGACGGGGAAGTCTACCCCTCTTCGGCCACAACTTTTCCCCTCTATAAAGCCTGGGGAGCAAATCAGGACAGGTGGTCCTTTTTTAAGCAGAAAGGGGGGACCCCCTACCCCTTTTTGCATTCATCTGATTCCTTCAACATTCGAACCCTCGGCGCACGTGAATGAATGACGTGCTAGTTAACGGTTACATGCGTGTACCATTCGGTCACGTGCGCTAGGTACCCACCATTCATTCACGTGCGCTAGGTACTGGCTTCCCCCGAACAGAACGTACGGTCATTGTAGCCGTACTTGGACCAACCTGCAGTCCAGATGCAGCGCAAATGACCGTACGTTCTATTCGGGCGAAGACGGTAGTCGCCATTCACGGTAGTCGCCATTCAGTCACGTGCGCTAGGTAGGCGCCATTCAGTCACGTGCGCTAGGTAGGAGAGACGGCCTAGATTTTCTATCGATCGCAACCATCTGATTCCTTCAGGACTCGAACCGATGACCTGCTTATCAACTGTTGGGTTACATGCGTGTATCATTGAGAACCGTGTGCTACAGTAGGTAGGCCTGAGAGGTAGTCTACGATTTTTTTATTTCTTTATTATTATTATTATTTTTTTACGATATTTTTTTTCACTCAAACGCGTGTACGAATTTTTCAATCAAACGCGCAACTTCTGGATCAGATACTCCCTAACGAACGAGAATATGCTTCCTTTCTCATCTTTTTCTTTAACTAAAAAAAAAAAAAATTCTCATCTTCACTACCACGGTCACCACAAAGTAACTCAGCTCTCGCTTCGGTTCAGCTGCGTGCCAAAAGGAGCGGAGTTTTTTTTTTTTTCGGTCCTCGGCTCATACAGCGTACTGTTCTTTTGCCAAGGACGAAAAAAAAAAAAAAAAAAAAGCTCTCTTCGCTCTACTCATAAGTCAACTACATAGTATTATATAGTATTATACTATATACTGCAAAAATCCAATGACCGTGGCTTTTCAACTGCGCAGTATATCGTATATACTTCAATTCAAATATGATGACCGTTGCTTTTAGTGTTGTTTCACATCCCAATAATCGAAGTGATCTTCAAAAACGAACGTATTGGCAAATTACTGTACCTGCTCAAAAATTCCACAGGACATCCGGGGTTAAGCCCTGTTTCCACTGAATTATCTTCATTTCTGACCGTTCAATAATCAACGACCAGAAACGGTGAATCCTACCTAATCGGCGGTCAGCGCGTGTGAAGCGGGTATATTACGGATTACTACAAGAACACAAAAAAAAATTGACAGGTTGGCTGCAGATATACACCGCCATACGGATACTTGGAACAGCCATAACGAGATTGCTAATACCAACCAATTACCTTATACATAACAAAGTGTAATTAATCGATCTCTAGAAAAGTCTACGATCTAGTAAATACGACTACCTACCCCCTCTCGACAGGCCTAGTCAGCTAATATACAGTAGGTCTTTTCAATCATCTCCTGATTTCTGAAAGGTCTTTTCTTTCATCTCCTGATTTTTTTCGGAAACACGATAACTCTTCCCCTCCCGCGTTCCTACGTCTGGTACACCATTAATGGTATGGAGAGGAAAGCCTCGACGTTTACAACGACAGACCGAATCTCGAAACCAAAAACTGACATACTTCATAAAGTAATATTTCTTTCATTTTCAAGACACTGTTGCACTGTTTCTGCACTTTCATATCCCCCCCCCCCCTCCTCCCCCCCCCATGAGTTTCCCCCGTTTCATCGTCTGCTCAATGTGTTTCCCCCGTTTCATCGTCTGCTCGCCGACAACGACTCTTCCCCTCCCGCGCGTTCCTACGCTTCCTTCCGAATTGGTTGCCTACAGTAGGTTTCTGTGCTGAGCGCCAAAACGCACTCATGACGCAGGAGAAGCCAAAACATACTGGGCCTCGCTCCACTACTGACCAAATGTGCAAAATGAGAATGAATCTTCCGCTAGAACATGGGAAGATGCACCGCCATATTTTTTGTCCTTCGTGCATGTGGTGAGCAGTGGAGCGAGGCACATTGGCAAAAAACCGGAAAGGGGGAGAAAACAGCATTCCATTCCGCGAATGAAAACTTTACAGACGAGGCAGGACGAGAGGGAGGAGAAGATAGTGAGGAGCGGAAGAGAGAAGACGGGGGAAAGGGAAATCAGGACACCGGAAAACGAGGGAGAGAAAAGGAGGGAAAGAGGGGAGGGGAAAAGAGAAAAGAAGAGACGAGCAAGGAGATAAGAGAGGGGGAAGCCACACACCACCGCGGGGAAGACTAGAGAGGAGAGAGGAGTGTAATAAGAGAGGAGAGAATCTAACAGAGAAGCGAGAAGAAAGCAAAGCAAGCGGACAGGCAAAAGACGACGTGAAGAGAGGCTAGCGCACACAAGAGGACGCAAGGAGAAGAGAGGAAAGACGATGAAAAGGAGCTCACTGAAAGGCAGCAAACGGACGTCGACGGAAAGATAACAAACGGGAAACGGGCGTCGAAAGACAGACATCAAGGGAAACAAAGAGAAAAGGAAAAGCGCCGTTAGAAACACCGATCTCACCTGTCTTCGCTGGAGGTAGTTTATACCGATCACGAGATCTGCAATTGGCCATTTCCCGAGCGTCTCGCTGTAAGTGAACCTCAGTATTTCTGCGAGTGTAGATAGAGACTCCCAGAGAGTGGACGGCGGGAGAGCGGGCTTCGGAATGCCCCCAGAATTGCGCGAATTCGAGCGACTACCGGGAGAGAGGACAGAAGAATCACGACCCCCCGCCGCCACGACTCTCCGCTTAATCACCCTTCCATCCGAATCAGAGGGGGGGGGAGAGGGAGAGGTAGAGGGAGAGGGGCAATCCCCCCCCAGAGTTTCATCATCGGGCATTGTCGCCGCCATCCGATACGGCCAAGGTCCTGAGGCCCCCCTCACAGAATAATAATACAGAAGAACTGCAGCCCCGGCAGCCGTGGCCATAGCCGCCGTAGCCATTCCCCCTACCCACCTCCCAGCCGCTGCTTCCGTCCTCGGTAGGCGTCATGGACGGCGGGGAGAAGGACACCTCAAAGCCACGGTATACTTTCTCCTTCTTCCTTATCATCCGTCTTCAGGGCGACATCTCATCCGACCCCATCTCCCTTCAGCATTACCGTCCCCCTGCTTCAGGCTCTCACCCTCACCCCCGCCCGCCTTCCTCTTCTTTCCCCC